ACCGGTCACATAATGAGAAGAACAGACGACAGATGGACACTAAGAACATCTGAGTGGATCCCTCGCGAAGCCAAACGTCCTCGAGGAAGACCACCAACGAGGTGGGCACACGTGTTCGTGGAACGGATGGACTAGCTGAGAAATCAGCTGGATACGACTTCCGTCCCTGGAACTCGTGGACGCAGCCACCGACGACGGCCAAGAAGATCGTGGATGTCTGAAGCGAGGGACAGGGAAAAATGGCAACTTCTGTACTGAGGCCCGCACGTCACGTGAGGACAGGCCATCTAAGTATCTAAGTAAGTGTCTTGAACAGCTGGGCTCTGCGTCCTTAGTTTAGGTGGTCTTGAACGGGTTGGCATGCAATGGATATTCTTCTAACCTAGTCTATCTAGTATTCATGGATCGATTGACAGTTTCGCTGGGTGTCGGCTGGGTGGTTTTGACAACTAATGGTTGCTACAGTATGGAGCAATCGCCTTCTGCTGTGTTGGACTTGCTTTTTGTCCAGTAAAGTTTGATCATGGCTAGACTAACCCATTGCTGCTTGTTTGAACTAACTACAAGCTTTGTTTGTTTCTATTTCTTCTAAGTCTGTACTTATCGAAGAACCGTTGAAATTGGAGCTGACTTCAGCTGAAATTTTCGGATGCTGGTGTTTGATCATGGTTACACCTTATCCATACGTTGGGTTGAGTCCGGTACACCCCTTCTATTTCTACTTGGGATTAGCTTGGCTCGACCAACTCTTTGCACTATGCAATCTCTTCTTCGCTATCAGAAGTTCTGCTCCTCCCCAGAAACTGGTTGTGCGGGAGTTCCATATATACCGCTTTCCCTACTTTCCCGGTTGCTTATCTTCTTCTTATATATAAAGCTGAATGTCTGTTTGTCTGTCTGTCTGTATGTCTGTCTGTATGTCTGTCTGTCTGTATGTATGTACGTATGTTCCGAATACAAATTTTTATTTCTGAACCGATCGGGACCAAACTTGGCACACATATACTTCAGGGCAGGGAGCGTGTCATAGGCTACTTTTCGTTATCGATCGATATCGATTTTATTGATTTGTTGCAAAATTCGAGCTAGAGGGCTGGGATTTGGCAGAGGGGGGTAATCGAGCATGCTGATCACCCCGAAGGGGTGATCAGCATGCTCGATTACCCCCCTGTGCAAAATCCTAGCCCCCTAGCTCAAATTTTGCAAAAAATCGGTAAAATCGACATCGATCGATAACGAAAAGTGGGCTGTGACACGCTCCCTGCCCCGAAGTGTATGTGTGCAAAGTTCGGTCCCAATCGGTTCAGAGATAAAAATTTCTATTCGGAACATACGTACACGGGTCTAGCTGGCAGGCCCGGCGGAGCCGGGCAAGCCACCTAGTATTGAATAATAAAGATCGCCTTTCCGGGCAAGCAGGGGGCATGGGACAGACTCCACTGAGTCTTTACTCCATTATTTTCGAGTGATTACTTCATACATAGTCTATACAAGCTTAATTCCCTATTTTCTTCTAAAACATTTAGTGACTGCATTTGAGCTAACCTACTGGATGTTTTTTTGTTTCGTTCTCTGTATTTGTTCCTATTATTATGTTCTCGTATTTTGTTATGGTTATGGCACGCTTTGTGCGTAATAAATAAACATAAACATAGCTAGATTCAGCAGAATCTTTCCGGAGTGGGATGTCTCATGATCTAGTAAGCTGGACGTTTCCAACCGATCACCGCGATACGCGCATGCTTTTAGAGGCGCTACGTACTTCATCCGAAGGCTTGTGTAACTTAAAGTGGTCTAAAAATTGAGCGAAGACAGTTTATTCTAACGTCAATCAAAAGAATTGCAGAGAGTTATGGAACAATGCATACAGGAAGGAGTAGGAGTGGAAAGAAATGTAAAGGAGAGCATGGAACGGTAAATACTTCACAAACATAGGTTATTCAACCACAAAATTTGACGCATCTCATCCAGATAGAGAAGTTCTGACAGAAACGTCTTGGATTACCTCGGCCAAATCAGGGTGGTTAATGTAGTATGTCTTCGATAAAGTTAAGACTGCATTAAGAAACTTTGTTGCGATGGTCGAGACCCTCTCAATGTTTTGGATTGCAATTCTGCAATTGCATCTATGATCGCACCTGCACAACTCGGATCGCCAACTCGGATCGGATCACTCGATCATGATATCCCCATCATCTGCCCTGCGGGCAGGGATGGGGATATCATGACGTCAGCCATCTACCTCATGCGTGGACTGCTGCGAAAGTACATCGGTGAAACGATACGCTCTCTATGCGTCCGCATTGAAGGGCATCTGGACTACAGGGCAGATCAGGTACTACCAACCTCTAGGCACTCACAGGCTGCTGAAACACGCGAGAGAAAAATTCGAAGTCTTAGTGAAGATGTCGGCGCACAAATCGAAAATCGGCTCGCAGAGGTGTGGAAGCCCTTTGGGTCCACAAGTCCACAAATGAATCGGAAGGATGAGTGCTTCGCAATGGGGAACGGACAGGAGGTACGGTCGGCGCGATTTTTCGCGAAGCGACGCCGCAACGCATTTCAACCATTACAATAACAGCATTCTAGGTGTAACGTTACTTATGGCATCGAGTCATGTATCCTCCTCCACCCCCACCCCTGTGTTTTTGCCGCCGGGAGTCCCTGATAGTGGGAAGTTGGGTCCCAAGACTTGGACGCGGCGTGCGCGGCAAAGCGGCCGCCGCGCGCGGCGTACCTCCTGACGTGCAGCCCCCGCGTTCTCAAAAACCTATGTCTGGTATGACAGTCTAATCAGTAATCAGGCAGAGTCTTACAATGAAAGGAAGGTTGGTAAGTGGCCTTTTGAAATGGGATGTATTCTGCCTTGTAGAGCTTGGAGCGCTGATTCCAAATCTACCTTTGCTATCTGCTGCGTGCTTCTGGGCGACGAGTTACGAAGGTTTTTGTGAGTAAAAATCTGAATGCAAGAGTTGGTAAAAATCTGAATGCAAGAGTAGGCTAAAATCAGTCGTAACATTTTTTATAGGGCTTACTTGGTAGTCGGATCACTCGGTGCAACAAATATTTTTGATTCAAATATACCAATTCGCTGCTGCCTCATTTGAACATTGAGAAAAGGGTACAACTGACTTTATCCTATTTTTGTATTCAGATTTTTACTCACAAAAACCTTCATAAATCGTCGCCCAGAAGCCCGCAGCAGACAGCAATATTAGATTTGGAATCAGCGTTCCAAGCTCTATAAGGCAGCATACTCCTCATTTCAAAAGATCACTTCGACCAACCCTCCTTCCCTTGTTAGAACTTTGCCTGTTGAGCTGCAGAAACATTTGTTCGGTGAGGTTGCAGGTTCTTTTCCATTCCAGGCTCAAAGCGATCCTCCTCAATGTCAGCCAGTAATTGATTGTTATCAATTTCGAGTACAGCTTACAAGCACAGCTAAAACATCTGCATCATGCCGAGAGCCATGGGAAAACGAAATCTTATTACTTTTTCTGCACTTCTGTCACTTTATTTGTTGTGCTGGTTAAACATCTCAATATGAGGAGGGCAGATATGACATGGCAAGAGTGGAGGGGGGGGGGAAAGAATGACGGAGAGAGATATGGAAGGCCGGCGAAACATACGGAAGGGCGGGGATAGACATGAAGAACGGGAAAGACATGGATGGACGGGTATGGATGTGGAATCAAAATGTTTGGTTGGAAAGGCTAGTGCTCTCGACATTTCAGACTCCGAAGGAAGCGAAATTGCCTGTCTATTTTTTCATTCAGAATGCTATCAGTCTCGGTCACATCGCTGCAAATCAGTCAGAAGCATTAAGCCTATCTAGCAAATAAGCCGGTATTATTTGTAACAGCTGCAATTGCTTCATCCATCTCTTTCTATTGATGATCGAAGTTCCTCAAGCATTAGTCTGATTAGTCATTTCCTTGAAGCTTTCTTACCCAAAGTGCCTCAACAAATATCCGTTCCCGATGGTTGTGTTGTGATTAGCACGATTTCTACATTATTTTGTTTTGTTACCTCACATTCCATAATTACTAACCACCTTTGTTGTTGTTGCGCCTGGCTTTGGGTCCCCTACGTATTGAAGGCAGTGGGTCGGCAAAATGAGACCCGTGGCAAAACAAGGTCACAGGGTAAGAGCCCCATAATGGAACCTATGGGCCAAAGTTCGATCTTTCTCTGCCACTTCTAACCCCTGAAACTTCAAAGCGAAAGCAGCGCTCGTCTCCTGTCTTCTCCGAACCCGCTCACCCCATGGACGAGTGAACGCGAAGGGGGGGCGCTCGTTACGTGCGCTCGCCCGCGACGAATGCCGCGACGCGACGTCACATTTGCCGCGCGCGCGGCGGCAGCACTGCAGAAAACTCGTCCGAGCGGGTCCTCGCTAAAATGCGCGGTACGCTCCTTTAAAAAGATTTATCGAGAACTTTTCGATCATTTTGCCCAAATTTGTTGTTTCTGAAGTGTTTTGTTCTTCTTTTTCTCTCCTTAGTTTGTTTTACAACATATTTGCTAGGATTTTCGAGCTATTCTGCTACTTTGTGCCTTGTTTTATCATTTTATTTCGCTGGAATATTACTGACGTCTATTTTATTCTTTTTCTCCAATCTCATACTTTCAGATATGTTCCGTCTTCGCTTTCTTCAACGTCAACTAGCGAATTGGAGATAGATAGGTTCTCATTAATGTTGTTTGTTTCATTGTTATTCATGTTATGCATTTTATATGAGTTTATGTTTATATCTTATGTTGTTTGTGTATTTGTTTCTTTCGTAACATATATTTTTGTAAGACTGATGTTTATTTTCATGTTTTACATTGCTGTTAATGGTAATAAATATTTATCTGTTGTTACTATGGCTTGAAGCAATTGCTTTCTGTTCAAAAATAGAAATTTACAAAACCCAAGTCATGGAAACATGGCGAATGGGGAGCTATTGCTTCAAGTGTGAAGTGAAGTAGCCACACATTTTACATATAAATGTCCATTATGTGGATTTTTCCGTCACGAATCTTGACATCTTTTGGCAATAGTCCTCAATTTCTCTGGTTGACACACCATTGCGGAACCGCTGTTCGAAGCTGAAACAATTGCATCACTTTCACTGATACTTTTGAAATATTTTGCCTACTCCATCATCAATTCGCAGATAATTTCTCTTCTTTCTCTGTTCCTTGCGCGTAAACGCTTCCCTTCTCCGGGATGCTGAAATAAGTCGTATAACCCCACGAAATTCAACCCCATTTACCTTTTCATGATAACGAAGGGAACAGTTTGCAACCGTGTTGATACTTTTGAGTCCTTCAATGAGTTCTTTGAGAGGAGGATGATCGCTGTCAAACAGAACACCAAGTTTGCTGAAAATACATTAGTTTCATTATGGAAATGGCGACAATTTATACCTGTTAAATGCTTCAGCTAAATTGGTAGTGCGGAGTTCATCAACCCCCCATTTTGACCACAAGTCTTTATAAGCCCCAGTGAGCCATGTTTGCCGGAGATAACTGAGGAAATCAAGGCATTTGTTGTATGCTTCATGCTGCTCTTCCACTGGAGGGGTGTGAAGTGCTCGAACTTCCCGACGAAGTCGGCAAGAAACAAAGACTGAGCCCTTGATAATGTGCCACCATTTTTTTACTCGTTCGTCCTTTTTCTCTCCGTCGATATAAGCCCGAAGTCCAAGTTTGTCCCTCCTTCTATTCCAGGCCTGTGCCAGGTGGAAGGCACAGCCCTCTACCTTCGCGTGTGGGAATGTCGTAGTAGCTGCTTTAATGGCAGCTCTTTCAAAGTCAAGTATGAATTTTTTTGGCAAAATGTCACCTCCCTCGTACTTGCAAAACTGCTCCTTAATGTGGTTGAAGATAATCCTGTATTCCTTCACTGTTCTTTTTTGAGTAATGGCAAATAATATCGGTACTTCCACCCCTCCAGTACACACTGCATGTACGCAATACAATTGCGCTTGTCGCCCCAACTCTTTTGGATGAAGGCTAAACATTCCGTCCGCGACAAGGGCATGTAGGCCAATTTGACAAGCTTTCTAAACGAAACGTTTATCAGATTTGATGTAAAGTGAGCTGTAAATTAGACAGACTTTGATCGTGTCCTCGGAGTAGTATACGTGGAATTCTCCTCCTTTCTCATGTAGAAAGCTCGTGCCATCTGGAAGTGCGGTGACGTGGTCGGGTACGTTACTCATCGTGACCGTTTTATCCCTATGGGGATTGATAGCTACGGAAAAAGCCTTTCGGCGTCGATTGTAGCCGTGACCGTGTAACTCTGATTGTACTTCACACCAGAGCGGTTGGTCTGAATATAGTCGTGGTATCACTGATGCTAAATACTCGGCAAACCTTCTTCTTCAAGACAGTCTTTGGAGTTAATAATTTTCATCCATTCCCTCAGGGGTTTCTTCCCCGCACTCTCAGCGTCATTCTTCAATTCTTGTACCTTCTAGAAAACATGTATTAAGTTGAATTGAATTACAAGAATTCACGGACTCCGTATGCTATCCTTGTGGCGATTTCTTCGGCTCTGTTCTTCGTATCACATGCGTGTTGAATGTGGCTAGGATTTGATAAGAACTCTTCTCCTCTGACCTGGGTTTCCTGTGGATATTACATTTGTGAAGTCTTTTCGACAAACCTTAATGCTTCTCCATTGGCCACTCTTCTGGCACTGAATACATTTGTAGGAGTCGTATCCAGCATTCTTACGAACGAAGGCAAACGCGTAGGACTTCTGCGTATTCGGGAGGTTGTAGACCAGAACTTCGTGCTTTCCACGTTTGCTGGGTTGTTTTTTTCCTTTATAGGGTCCACCGTCGGCTTCTTGCACATACACGTTTTCTGATAGAGAGTCAATTTTAAATCCGAAGAGAATGATGTGAAGACCAGACCTGTGGAAGTGGGTGTCATCACTGTTTTCTTTTGTATCATATATGAACATTATGAAAAAGTTCACAAGAAATAATGAGAAAACATCAAACAAAAAAGTCTATATATTCGGTAATCCGCGCGTTTTTGTTTTGTACTGCCTCATCTTACTGTCTTAGTGTGAAGTAATGGACACGTTCACTTTTTTTGCCTCTCAGCCAACCGCACGTAACGATACGCACATTTTCGTGCCCCAGTTATAGGGTGCCTCGCAACGCGTACGCGCAGCGTGCTCTCCTGTCCGAGTTGTCCGCGCGCTAGTTGCCGCGCGCGATGGGCGCGCGGCGTCTTCATTTGCGGCGACCGCACGTAACGATACGCACCCAACGCGAAGCCCGTCATGGCGAAGACGCAGAGTCGTTGCGGGACCTCATGCTTATAGTATTGCGGCTGGCGCTCTGACCGCGGAAATCACTCGTCCATGGGGTGGGCGGGTTCGGAGAGGACAGGAGATGAGCGCTGCTTTCCCTTTGAAGTTTCGGGGATTAGAAGTGGCAGAGAAAGATCGAACTTTGGCCCATAGTTTCCATTATGGGGGCTCCTGCCCTGTAACCTTGTTTTGCCACGGGTCTCATTCTGCCGACCTACTGCCTTTAAATTGTCCTGGAATTAATGCAGGTTTTTGCTAGTGCATCTTCAAGCAGTTTTGTTCTCGTAGAGTTGCTCTTCTTGCGAATAACTTCACATGCAGTTTAAAAGCGCTGCCCATGATTTATTTACTTTGGTCATCTCTATTCGTTCAAATTCCGAACTTCCTATAAGCAGCTTTGAATCGGAATTTTGCACTGTTTGTACTTGCATTCAATCGGCAAGGATGGGTATTTCATGATAACATAGGAAGAGCAAGATGCTGATTAGTCAAAAACAGTAGGGCTTTCCACCATTAATTGTTGAAGCAGAATTATCAGTACTCAAACAGGCCATTCATCGAAGCCATTTAATTGTGTCCAAATTTGTCCTGTTTTCATTTTGTTGAAAACTGTGGGACCTTAAAGGCTTCACTATTAATAATAGAGGCAGATTTTGGAGTTCACGGCCTATCGAAAGGAGTCGAAAATTCGCTATTTCAACTTTGCATTTTTTGTTTTATAGATTTCAAAAAATTAATCTCTGCATGGCTATTGATAACTAACTTGTGCTTACATGATGTGAAAGGGTCCTCCCATTTTGCAAACTTGTCACATAGAACGTTTCGGCATCTTGTCATCTAGTCTCCCTTAGATCCTAATGGCTCCGCTAGTACATGGATATGCCCTAGACATTAGGTTTGTCATGTCGTTCCGTTTAGCATTGATAATAACTACTATTCAGTCGAGATTCTTTGTTAGCAGTTATATGTAGTTTCAAATGTCACATATTGAGGATTTTCCGTCATTTATAAGTGACAATTATGCCCTTGTATGGCTAGTCCTTTGAGAAATCTGCGAACGTTTTGGTCAGAAATGTGAGAGCTTCCTGACATTGGTGCGCGAAGTGTTAACTTTGGCCAGCCTGGCTATGGCTGTAAATACCAAGAGTAAGTGTGCGTACCATTTACAAACAGCCAAATTGACTTTGGAAAAATTGGTGCAATGGTTACCCACTCTAGCATTCTCTATAGGGAAAAAGTTCTGCTCAAGCAATAGTAATAAATAGTAATCAATGAATAATGTTTCTGTTTACGATAATTGAACTTGAAAACTCCCTTTCGTTCCACTCAGACGGAATGTTATGTTGTTGTTTCTATCCCATCCAGGCAACTAATAAACAAGGATGGCCATGATTATAAATAAATCACCTTTCAACAACAAGACTAATTTTGTAATTTTATGGTTCAACTAGTTCAACTATTCGAGAGATCATTAGTTTCTTTAGCGGTGTTGAAACTTTTTACCTAGCATGAGAGATTTTCCAGTAATTTTAAATATTTTGGCCCATGGGTCAGCTCCAGAGTCAAACTTGCATCTTCATTGGATTCATCTGCCTTGATTTCTTCTTGTATAGCTTCAACGTCGAAATCCAAGCTTGACCCTCTGACTCTCGATGAATTGCTATTTTCAACGTCAAGAACTACCGAAATCATTTCTTACACCTGATGATAAAAAGCGGCCTGAATAACAATGGTTCCCTTCATCTGTAAACATTATGTTGGTGCAAAAATAATGTCCGTTTTTCTAGACTTCTGTTCCGATCAACTTTTTTCCATCAAACTTTCTTTGTCGATACAGATTTTGCATATATTGAGAAGCTTTCTTCATGTATTTTCTAACAGTGGTGCAGTTAGGATTCTATCATCATCTGCGGAAATTTCACTACAATTTTAAATCAAAATTTCATTGCTTTCACTTTCTTGGTCACGATTCAGGCGCAGCCAAACGATTTTTTTTAAAGATAGCTACTGTATGGGATACATATTTTCACCTACAGCATGTTTGAGTAGATTTTTCGAAAATGTCCGTAATGAGATATTGACATTCCAAAATAGATACTCGCTGCTGACATTCTATGGGTCAAAAACTTCTCATAATTGAGGCAATAGCCAAAGCTCCGCTCATTTCTTTAACTTGAGATTAGGACATCTTGCCTACAATTTTTGCAGGAAAGCTCAGCTATTAGTATGAAGAATTCCAGATTCTAATAATTTGAGGGCTTTCAGACCTACCTCAAACAGACTCAAAAAAGTGAAGAATTTTAGATTCTTCTCTTTTCTTTCCGCAGACTGCTTTAAGATCCTTTCTATGTACACATATATTAGGTCGTTCCGAAAGTTCTTGCGCACGATTCAAAAATTCGTAACTTGTTGAATTCTCAATAAGTTTACAAGATCTAAATTTCATGTGAGAGAGGAACTCATGCTCTTTGCACTTGTACCTGAATTGTTCGTTAATGTGTGCAATTGAAGGAGATAGAAGCTCAAAACCAAAATCACTCAAAATTTGAAATTTTCCTGTAGGGTCATAAAAAATCGGAAACTTGCAACAAAAATTGGAGCAGTCGGTATTGTAGGTCCTATTACCAGCTCTTTCTAACTGTGCAAAGTTTGTGCTGATTGAGGTTTCTATGAAAAGTTATGATTTTCGAGCAAGCAATACAACAGGGCGAAATTGATTTATTTTGGCATTTTTCAGGGAAGTCGTAACTTTTCATAAAGACGCTCAGTCGACGCAAACTTTGCACTGTTGAAAAGAGCTTGTGAAAGAGCCTACAATACCGACTGCTCCGATTTTTGTTGCAAGTTTCCGATTTTTTATGACCCTACACGAAGAATTCGAATTTCGGATGATTTTCTTCTATCGCTCCAATCTATGCAAAAAATGTTCATTAGTAAGCAGCTAAGGAGTCATTACAAAGAGCATGACTTACTCTTTCATACAAAAAAAAATCAGTCAAAACGGTTGGAAAAAAGCAGAAGTCATGATTTTTCGAAAATCGTGCGCAAGAACTTTCGGAACGACCTAATATTACTGGCTTGCTGCTACAAAAGAAGCTAATTATCAGCCATCGATTCGAAAGTTGAAGAGAATTGTGAACTTGAAAAAGAAGTTTCAAAAAACTTTCGGTTTTTTTTGAGGTCCAGTTTTCTTCCCTGCGATAAGCAGGTGCGAACTAACTGTGACTTAGAAAAGGTTACTGCTTCTGTGGCCTTGGTTACATTCAAAAATATATAGACTGGACAAAGTTATAGCTTTTCAAAGTGAAACTTTGCAAAACGGATATTTTTGCACCAACCTAGTACCCTCTCAAGCGGAATCATGAGAAAATTTGAAATAAAGTTTGTGAAATCTGGGTCGTTTTCTGGACAACCTCGCAGTAAATGAATTAATGACAATAAGTTATAAATTGCACCTTTCCTGGGACATTAGTGCCAGGCCCTGCTTTGTTAAAGTTTGCATGTGTCAACATGTAAGGAAAACTCGACGTTTCAACTGAACCTGACTGTATATTGCTTTCGAATATAGTCTCAGTCTTAATGGGGATTCAGCTAAATTGTGTAACATCGTTATCCATCTATAGAATTTCTTTGATGCTTGGTTTTGCGTAACTTTAGTGTTGTCGTTTCATTAAGTGTTGATTCAATGAATTTACCACTTTTTTATAGTTATGCGCTTCAAATGACTGCTTGTTCCATATGAGGAAGATAATCTTCTGTTTTTTGCGTCCTCTTGCTATATCAACATTTTTCTGGACAGAAGACTTACCCGTTTTCTTGCTGTCATTATGCTAACGACTTCCACGCCTCCCTCATGATTGTTTCTTCGAAGTTTGTGGAGACACCGGAACAACAATCGTCAAAGAAAAACTAGTCTTACATGTGTAAGTGAATCACTTGCTTTTCCTTTCACTAAATATTAGATACCTCTAACGATACCTTTGCCTCATCTTTGCATGCCTCATTTCTGGCTTTTTCTCATTTTTAGTATTCATGCTTGATGTCATGGAATGTTTTTTTCAATTATGTGCCTTTATCATATCACTTCCCCTTCTTACATCTTTTTTTTCGTGAAAATATTTACTGTTTATGTAGTAAAGATAGTCGTACCAAAAAAATTCACTACTTCACACTCTATATGTCGCAGTTGGCTCCGTTTGTCTGCCTATCCCACCGGCATCACTGCATCAGGAAACGATTTCTCCAATAAACTGAACTGTGTCACCTGCTGTACAGAATGTTTTACTACTAAATCTTTTACACCCCTTTGCATAGCACAGATCTCAGTAAAGAAAGCGAACGGGAAATACGTAAGACAAGTAATACGATCTCTTCGTAAACAGGCACCCGGAATCAACCCTGCCGAGGAACAATTGTGAAAATGTCACTTTTCGCATAACACTTTTTTGTGCTTGTGTTCATATGCAATCTTTTGAGCTTAACATTCCTTTCCGATGAAGAATTGTTTCTCTCAAGAACTGTACACCTTGTGTTTATAATGCACATTTTTACTAATAAAGCTGTGTTACGAATGCCGTGAAAGAAATATTATCGAAGGCTTTGAGGCAACGCTGCTAAATCAGTTAACGATGACAACTACCTAT